TATCTTGTAAATTTTTATAAAATACTGATACATTGTGCCGAATAAAAGACGTTGCACGAAAAAAGCTGCAACCTTCTGGTGTCCTCAACGACAGTCGTGTATGCCTTTTACGAAAATTGCGAAACCATTTTAGCCCTGCCATTCGATTGTTACGCCAATTGTCAGGAATTGTCTTTTTGTTTTCAATAGCCATTTCATAGCCAAGTTTTCTACATTCAATAATTGTGAGACCATAAAACATTCTTGAACACTGTATTATATAATCTACCAGGGAATCTTCCTCTTCATCTGTAAATATTTTATTCACCTGATAATTTGGAGCCATTCTAATTTCTTCAGCTAGTTTAGCTCTTTTAACATACCTAGCTAAAGTTTGATGTGCAATGTATTTTAAAGCAGCTTTTTTTCTTAGGCTTCCGCCTTCCATAACCAGATTTACTGCTTCTCTCATAGTCTGGTCTGAGCAATTACCAATTTTTCGTTTGCTTGAATTCATTGCAATCTGAAATATTAAAACACAACCCCATAAAATACATAATAAAAGCATATGTCCAACAGTGAGACATGTCTCACTGTTGGGCAACACATTTTGTCTCACTGTTGGACACTAATGATGTCTGCCATTTTTGTCAAATGGCTTTTTTAAATACAAACATAATCAAACAAATATACGCTTAAATAAAAAGTAAGTAAATAAACATACCTCAGACGCAATTCCATTTTAAAAACACCTTCACAATTGTCTTTGAATAAAAAACTAAGAGAGTGGCAAAAATTTACTTTTGAGACGAAAAAATATATACAATTCGGACTCACGTCTACCTCTTGTCACAGCTTTGCGTGTACTAGCTTAAAAGATCCGCTTATCAAACGTAAGTTTGCTGGCCAGTGTCGACATCAATCCGTCACGTGATAAGAGAGGGAAGTTAAATGTCTCACTGTAGTACCCACATCCACAACTAGCCATTCATAAAAGTGTATTTGTTGTGAAGTTCTCATCATCATCTATTGTATAGTCCAGGAGACAGTGACGATTTTCGGTATTTATTTTCCCAGTCAGCAAGCACGAATAGAGAATTGTAGGATTAGCAATTCTAAGCAAAATTCATATATATTTAGAGGGGGGATCCGATGGGCTGAGGCCGAAAATGCGTCAAAACATACGAGAACACGGCCCTTTTTTTTCCATTAATAAAAATAGTTTTAGTAGTAAGAGATGTACTGAAGTTAGGTAAAAAAATAATCTGATTAATCTGTATGGATAATATATTTGGCAAGTGCATAAAGTACACTTTCAAACGAGTTATGTACACAATTATTTCTACGACCACAATTATTTAAAGAATGTTCCAGGTGTTTTGTATATTAAAGTGTACGCATAGGACACATAAATAAAATCTTATATCACAATGTTTCACCTAACCAGTTGGTTTATTTATAGAAATTAAACATAATAATTGAAGATATTACAGAAGAAAATAGGGAAATAAATTACATTTCCTTTTACACTTTTATATAATAATTGTTTTATTTAGAATTCACGAAACACTTATTAATTATAATTATTGTTAGTTTCGTTATGTCAAATCATTTATACTAGAGGTGTGAGGAAAATACAGTGAACTGTGGAACGCCAATATCGTTGGATGCGCGTGGTAGAAATGGTCCTATAATACTGCTAAAAACATAGCTAAATTTTCATGGAAACACTGTACTTTTGACATTTGCGATACTCCGACGCATATGCATTATTGATGTAATTTCATGATTTTACAGTAATATTTTTTGCAATTTTAGTGTGATTTTTAGGTTATTATGGTTATTCATTTTATTTGGTTCTGATCTCTTGCGCTTTTAGAGTATTTGTCTTTTATATAGTTTTTAATTTGAATTTTAATATTGTGGTCTATTTATATTTGATTGCTGCTTTTCGACTAGAGCTTTATTCTTTTTGTGTTAAAATAAGCTTTATAACCATTAAGTACATGCTTCTAGTTGATATATATCTAATCGTCATCGGGTGCTTGCAACAATGGGAAAAAGTGTATAGTTTTTTTGGTGTAAAGTTAGACGCCTTCATTTTTCAGGTAAGTTATTTGTAGTTATTTTTTACTTGAAAGGATAGCAATACGTCCTGGTTCGGGGTGTGACTTTTGGGTTTTAGCTATCTGAGCCAAATTGTCGGCTAAGTGTCCTCTTTTAGGGCACCCAGAACCGAAAACTATATAGGTATATAATATGTTTTTTTTTTTAATTATTTTTTAATATGTATGCAGCTTGGATGAGGGCTTTAGGAAGAGATCCTAAGACTGAACACTGACTGCTATAAATGCCGTTTTTAGAGCACATTTCATAGTAAGTGATTTCATTAGAATGCTAGAGCAGCAATAAAGAAACGTTTAAAAAACATGCTGTACCAGCTATTACTTTAAGACCTCGTCTCTATAAGTTATTATTACTTCATTCTAATGCATATATTAAATTGGTTTTTAACTTATGTCCTTATGATTAAAAGATGTAGGTATTTTAGTTATGTTATAATAGAAATATATGATACTTTGTATTGACTGACCTACTGGCCACTGGTCATTCCACTTTTACTCCCTTTTTTCATAAATTATCAAATTATTTAAACACAAATACATACCTAGCTATTTTCTGTAAATTATATTAAAATTTTAGTATTAATACTTTACTAATAAAACTTCAGTTAATTTATCTTATATATATACACAACGGAAGAGTTAATTGGATTTTCTCCTTGTTGAGTTTCAAAAATAGTAATTTAACATGATTTAAAAACAAATACATGAAATGGGCAAAATAGGCCTGCAAAGGCACTTTGTAAACAATCTCACTTGTATCGATGTGACGTAATGCGCGAATTCAATCTGGCTTACTTTTGTTAATAGATTGGCGTTCCATTTTAAATATACAGTTCACCGGGAATAGATTATTTAAATATACACGGACCGGGAAAACATGTACGAAAAAATTCACTGGCTCCTGGACTAGTACTGTATCGAAGGAATTTTTATGAATGAAACAATATACGACCCTCCACAATTGCGGCCTACTCTACTTCCGCTGTTGTCAGACATTATTTTTTTTTTTGAGAATTTAAAGACCTAACAGTAATTCAAGCAAACGCAATAACATTACTACAGTTAAAAACATCGCAAACTTGGCATCAATATTTTAATTTTATCCAAATATTGCATTTATTTTGAGGATCATCCGCGTTGACTTCAGAAATTGTGTAATCTGTATTGGTTATATATATCTATAGTTAAAAGCACGTAAACTTGGCATCAATGTTCAATCCGATTATTGAGTTTCTACCGCGGAAACCACCGTTCATTCTTCAAAAATTTTGTAAATAATCCTATCTGCCTTGGTTATATATCTATGGTAGTACCTGTCCCACTATTGGGCACTCTCCCCTATAAATATATCAAGTATATAAATTCATATATACTACCCACTAAAACAAAAATTACTTATCATAAGAAAACAGTTAACAACTAGCGACAAATAAACCAAACCCAATTAGTAGCATAAAGTGTACCTATAGTAAGAAACTAATGTAAACTAACCACAAGTTAATAGTTCACTAACTGTAGGTTGCCTAAAAAATAATTAAACTGTTCACTAACTACAGGTGACTAATTTTAAAAATCTTGTTTTACTGACTATAGTAAAACATTTTATTTGTCCTATATAGTATACAAATTTTTATTTGCAGTAAATAACAGTTCCCTAACTGTTAGTGATTTTCTTTCGTATAAACAGTAAAAAGAAGAAGATTTTACACTGATCGATATTTGAAATCTAGTCTCCGTTATGTTGTACTAGCAAAAAGTGAATAATTAATAGTCTTCAATGTTATTGAGAAAGACTTTTTTAGCTGCTCCTCATGCACTTAGTCTTTCTTCTATCATTGATAACCGACTTTCAGCTTCGGATGTTGAAATAGGTGTTTTAACCAAAACTGCCAATAGCTTAATAGTTTCTTGAAAAGTGTACCTCATATCTTACTGTAAAACTATTGTTAAAAGAGCAACAGCTTCAGAAATGGTTTGCAAATTTTCTATTTCATAAAATACTGTTTTAGACGATTATGTCTTATAAATAAATATACTTTAACTGAATCAGAGAGCAGTTTGTCAGAAAAGTTTTTTTAGTATTCGATGAAATGTTCTTTCATTAATAATGCAGTAGCTATCAGATGTCCTGTAAAAGTAAATGGAGCCCTAAACTCTTGTATGATGAAATCAAAAACTTCCAAGGATTTTATTTTTTGACTGTTGACACAGATCGATCGGAAAGAAGGTAACATCGCCTTTTCTGAGGGACAGATTGATCTTCGTTTTCTTAAAACTCCAAGTCTAGTTTATTAATAATTGTGTCCATTTCAACACGAATTTTTTCCATCGCATTTTAAAAATTTTGTAGATCTTGGTAAGGCTTGATAGGGTCAGTATTAATCGCTCGCAGTTGCTTAAAAATTATTGATTTTGTGAAATACTGTTAACCAAAATATAAAATTTCGCTACTGACAAACTGTATTAACTCCTCGTGATTGAAATTTTCATCTCGTTTGTGAGTATCGTGGTAATCGTCTATAAGCTATATCATCCAAAACTTTTGTTTTTTGAGGTGGTGTAGATAAAAACAACAAATTCCTTTTAAATGAGCGAAAAACAAATCGGAACAGATGCATCAATTAACCTGCACTCATTACATGGTTAATCTGATGTGTATAGCAATGTATATATTTTTCATAAGAATATTAATCTTTAATTATTTTTTGTATTCAATTTACACCTTCAGTTATTTGGTGCGTCACCAATTAAAGGATCAATTTAATTTAAAATGCAATTTGCTATTGAATTGTATCCGGGAAGATTTAAAAATTTCCAAAATCTTTCGTCTGGCTTATTGGAGGCAATGTATCGCAGAATAATGACTAATTGAAATTCTTTAGCGACATCGACCGTTTAGTCGGCAATTACAGCTACATAATTACTTTTTTCTTTATCACCTTTTCCAAGGTAAGGGCCAAGCATGCACTCCAATAATTCATTCTGTATGGTCTTGAAGGTCCCTTTAAATACTCTTGCTTTGTTGAAATATTCCTTTAAATGTGTATCTAATTAAGAATTATCTATCAATTCTCAGAACACTCCTTTATTTTTGCATATTTATTTTTTTATCATGACCTCGCAATACTAATTATAATGCTCCACAAAATTTAATACAGGTAAAAATGATGTTTAACATATATCTGTTTTTATCAACTTCTTGGCTCTGCTAAATATTATGTGGTCTATGAGCGGAACTTAATTGAGTCATTGTATTTGATTTTTCGAGCAAAGAAAAACTAATAATATTATTTATAGGCATTGGTTTGTTTGTGCAGTGAACCCCCAGTTACATTTAATAAAAACACATTATTTTAAAATAAATAACATAAAAATATAAATTCAATTAAAATAATTTTATTGTTTTCATACGTGTTAATCTCTAGTTTTTGGTACTACACTGCGCTCTGGCTAATCGCGTCTCTTTGGCTCACTTTTCTTAATGAGCCCGAAGGAGTGAGATGCTTTTCCGAAAGCCTCTATCTAAAAAGAGACGTTAAAACGTTAACAGATCCGTGAAACGAACAATTACCTGCTAAAATCACTAAAATCAACTTATTTTGCGCAACACACACAGTGACGTTACAAATTAGGGCGGAGCATACGAATCTATCAAATAATAGCTACAGAATAAAAAATGCAATGATGGTACTGCACTTTTGCATTACCCTTTTACAACATATGTCAAACTCGAGCTAGTCATTTTTGATGATGATAATAAACGCCATTTTTTAAAATAACGTGATATAAATGTTGAAATCATTTTCATTTCGTCAACCTTGAAATATAAAATTAATCAAAATATCACTCAAAGTGCCTCTACTTGTCATATCACAAAATAGTGTTTATGTCGTCTCTACCTACTTCAACGATTCAACTTTCCAATCAAACTGTAAAATTCTAAAATCAACATTTTAATTGTTTATTGTATTTGTTAAAAATCAAGTTTAAGTAAAACTGCGACTTTAATAAATTGGAAGTATATGTGTGTCAATTTAACGATTGTTACCGAAAAACGTCTATCAGGTAAAAAAATAACTATTATATTTGAGGTTATATGTTTGTTTATTTCCAAATTACGGACGTAATTTATGTATTGCTTTTGTTCCAAGGTCTACAGAATAGTAATGTGTTTTATACCCAACTATGCATTGAGCATTTTTTTGTTTCCAACAAAAGACAAACGAAGTTTTAAAAAAGTATGACAATTTCATTATATATTTTATTAAGGACCAATCTTTTCACCTCTGAGTAAAGTTAAAAGTAACTACTTGCTGATTAAACTATATGGCTATTGTTTGTTAATCTGTCAAGTAAACCTACATGTAACTTTACTCAGAGGTGAAAAGATCAACCCTTATTAAACAAGGATCATTTCTTGGCCGTAGTACAATTTTATATGAATAACTAATTTGTAGGTTGTCCCTAATGAATTTGAAATTATAGCAAATGTCCTATCTATAAATGCTAGAGGTACTTATAAGCAGTGTCAGACTGATGTAGTGTTCAGGATTTTATAAACTTACATTACAGTTTTTAAAAACGATATAAAATATAAATATTGCACTGTTCTAAATTAATTCAAGAAACTTAATAGTTGTGTCTATGTTAGGTATGTGTCTACATCATGAAGACTAAATTAAATATTTACCGATATCTACCTGGGAGGTAATGTTAACTATGTCGACATAGTGCAGTTTTATAAAGGATTCGTTTTTAAAATCAGCTCATCGAGACCTTTTCAGGGCTATTGTACCCCATGTATAGTGATGTCACAATACAAGTTGATTTATAAAAAAAGATAACATTAGGTTCAATATTCAGTAAACTTACAAATTAAACGTTAACCGGCTTCAAAAAAGGAGGAGGTTCTCAATCCGTCTCCATTTTTTTTATGTACGTTCAGCGATAATTCTTTAACACGGTATCCGATTTCAATGTTTTTTTTTTTTGTATTTTAGGGGTGGTCCCATATAAATTTGGTTAAAATCTAATAGTTGGGTCCATGAGAAAATCCTCAAACTCTTCATTTTTTATGTATGTTTAGCGATAATGCTTTACCACCTTGTTAGATTTATATGTTTCTTTTTTTGTTAGTAAGGGGGTACCTCAAGGGTGGTCCCATATAAATTTGGTTAAGATATGGTGAAGGCATCTGCACGTTTTTGAAGTCGGTTTTTTTAAATATTTAATTTCTAATACTTGTTAACTCTCAGGTTAGTCGTAGTTTTAATAGTTAGATTATTAGTAAATAATACATTTTGTGACAATAATTGGGGCTAAGTGCATTTCTTGTCGAAATATATTTATTATATGTAAATATGGAACACAAAAAGTGTCCAGCCAACATTTAGTCTGCTTTTTCTTAATTCCTGAGGGATTTTCGGGATAAAATTCATGTGTGATTCAAGAAATATACATTGCAAATATCGATATACATACATATACAATACTTTTTATACCAACATAACTATTGAGGGTGAAACCGCGGGATGTTCACTACTTTATAACGGTAGTGGGATTTAGTTCAATTATTTGTTAATTATTATGCTTAAGTTAAATTTTCTGCGTATTATATTTAGCCAATAAATAAATCAGAGTTATCATAATTCTGTTTTTTGTTATCCAATTTATCACAGCAGGCCGGATTGATGACACTAGCAGGCTGGATTTGGCCCATGGGCCATAGTTTGGAGACCCCTGCTATAGATAATGATAGCCAATCATATGTTTCGGTTTTTTTGCCTATCAGTTACGTTTATCTAGAATAAAGGACTGATACTTATATTTTATTTTACACGTCATAAACTATCTAGAAAAAAAATTATTGCCAGCAGTGAAATAAATAACATTTTATTTCAGACTTTCCTTTGGTGGCTCTTATTACCCTGCGCTACCCTACCTTTATCCACATCCATAACCAATTTTCAGTACATACGTTCGGTCTGTGTTGTTTTAAAATAAACTTACTGGCTTCCTAATGTTATTTATCAACTATTTTTGTGAAAATGTACTATGAGGATACAACCATATACCTATCAAAACATTTTTCTAAACAAAAAGTCGGAAAAACTAATTTATTTTAGTTCTAAAACGGAATAATCTAATTTGCCGTGTTCTAAGTCAAATAAATCAATTTTTTTGGAGTTCTGCGCTTTCGTAGATATCTCTTTAGTGTTAATTATTTTCCTAAAGTAGATCCTAATTTAGTAACAGAACTAAAATTTTGGAATTTATACAATAAAAATAGGGCATCATGTAGAAAGCAACAGGAAGGATAATCTTGTAGATCGTTTCAAAAACCGACAAGGGAAGCCGAAACAAATTGGTTTAGATGGGTTCAGGAGAGGACATGTGAAAAGTCAGGTTAACTTTGTTAGAGTGAAGGGCCGATCCCTGACGTTGTAGCGATACCGAGACTCTTTGAACTTTATGACCCATCATGTCAGTGTTAAAGTGAATTAGACACTTTTACGCCGCGAGAAATTAAAAGAGTATTGAGAGAATTTGTTAACAAATTTATGTACAGCTTACTTTTACTAAACGCTAAAACCATATCATTTTAGCATGCTTTGGTTACATAAAGTGAAATATAAAGCACAGCATCGCTCTTTATAAAACTTTTCTATTTTCTTATTATGTATTCTGTTCTGGTATAGTATATATCGATTGAAATTCTTGGAAGTACATTTTAGTACGTCAAGTTTCGTAGTTATTTATTGATGATTGAGCTTTGGAATCTGAAGGAAACAGAAAATAGAATTAAATACCACCTATTGTAAAATAATTTATGACTTTAGAAAAGGCATACTTACTTTTGTTGGTCTGATAAATCTTGAAACAAGTAGCATAGAGCAAAGAGAAAAAAAGGCGATTAGTCAAGAATTGTAAAATTGTAAAATTAGGTTATTGTTCTCTTTGTGTTGCAAGATCGGCAATTATAATTGACTACTTCGGAATACAAAAACTAGAAAAATCTACCACTAGAAATTCGTTATTGAGTTGGAAATTTTGTTGAGTAATATAGCTTTTAAGTTTTATATTTTAATGAAGGTCATTTCTCCAATAACTAAACATTTTTAAACATTAAAAAATGTGAAACTTTTGATATTTACTTAGAAGTACCTATGCTAAGATGAAATTAAATTACAATTTGGTTCATTTATTTCCTTTTCTCACCTAACGTATATAGCAATATTTATTCAGTTGCTATCAAGGTTTTATACGAACAGATTTGTGTATATTACACTCTAGGTCTAGTAAACATGTTTAATAGAAAATATTTTCCATTAATAAATTACTTAATTTTCGGGTAATACCAGTAAATTTACAAATGTTGCTGAAAATGTACTTATTTGAGACTGCTGTAATTGGTCAATTGTATAATAACCAACAATATATTAGTAACTACTTTAATAACTATTAAACTGATTTAACGGTACCTATTTATGAAATTCTTTAATAAGCAGGTTGGTAACCACAATGCAATGTACAATAACCACAATCACCTTCTAACGATTTTGATCTCCTTCTGACACGAAAAAAGGTCGCGAACATTTGGTCGCGCGAAAAAATGTCGAGCACAAATAGGCGCGTGTCAAAAGGTCACCGGCGAAAAAAGAGCGCCGACGAAAAAAAGGCGAGTAGGAAAATAGCGCGTAACAATGTTGATATTTCTATTATTATCTTTTATTATCTTTTAATCTCAATGAAAAACAATCATTGGTCTTAAAGTGTTATAATGAGGGCATCGTAATAAGAAGGGTTTGGTAAAATTTATTATTCATAGATTTGTTTTGAAAATCTTTATATTGCAGGTAACCTTTTAAAGTATGTCTCTAATACCTATTTATTAAAAAAAACGATTGTTTTATTATTACTTTAGATAATTACCAATAAGCATTGGAAAATCAAACTTTCCTTCACACTTTATCCAGGCTTAGGACTGGCAGGTAATATTACTTGGCGTGTTTAGAAGTTTTTTTTAGTTTTTT